CCTGCCTGCAGAAGTCGTGGATTTTGGCGATGGTATCGAACATAAGCTTACTTATTTGTTCTACTACAGAAGCAACCGTTAAAGGCGTGAGGCGCAACGGTTTGGATCTGGGTCTGAAATGGTAGCAGGGAAAAAACCGTTGAAAAACCATTCACTCTTCACACCGGACGAGCATACTTCTCATAGCGATTTTGATCAAGTTCCCCCTTGGCATTGTGCCAACAACCGTCTTCTAATGCTGCATGTGCAGTCTTGTTCGTGCTCGATGAAGCGTGTGTTAGGCGAGGTTTTTCACTGCGCCAAGCGAGTTTCCTTCCACATGAAGCAAAAGAGAGACGCTTCGTCAACGAAGTGAGAAGAGTATCAGCATTTATTTGGCTGCGCGACTATCTGTGGTCGGGAGGTTGCAGAGGGTATGTTGCTCCACGGTTAGCCGGATTGAGGGTCTTAGTTCGGAGAAGATGCCACCTACCGCCCGGTGGATCGCAATACTTTTTTCAACTGAACGAATTTACCCTGTCCGTCTTATTGGTATATCGTACCATTTCCTCCTAAATAACAAAGGCTGACAATAACAGCGTAGTTGAAATTTGCGAATTGGAAAGGTCATTCGTAAATGATGGTTGGGTGCAGCCAAATGAGTGCTGATATTCTTGTCGCTTCATTTGCGAAAAGTCGCTTGCTCGCTTCAAAAAGTGGTGCAGAACTCGTTTGGCACTGTGCCAAAAGTAGGAGCTTCTTCCTCGTGAAGGAAGCTTTACGAGGAAAAAGCTCTACTTTTGGCAAGAAAATGAAATATCCTTGGACAACTATCGTTGAGATTTCACAACAGAGGGACTGTACAGGATGCAGGCAACCGCAACTGATTCGCTGACTTACTTTGTCGAATTACCGCATGCGTCTGGGGCAGATAACCTTCGCTAGAAGCTTGTTGGAGGTGTTACCCACTGGAAGGACTGGATCCTCATCCACGTCCTTACTGGCTGTAGATTTACAGACATATGTGGCTTATCGGCCAGATACAACGTCGTCCGAGGTCAGGTTCTCTTACTTGAAGTAGGCAAGGACACCGAGCAGCCCTTCGATCCAATTAGCTTCAACTCCAGTTTTATAGCTAGGAACGGCGAAACTCCGGCCTGGGTTGCGTGCGGGCTTTCGTACCGGCCCAGTCGATACAGTATAGCTACCCTGCGCACTGTTTCAACGGATCAGGATCAACTCCACTTATAGCGCGCGTCGCCGCAATTTGGAACTAAAGATCTATACACCAAAACGGGGTCATTAGGGCCCTAGTCCCTCTCGCATATTGATAGATGAATTTAGGAGTGCAAGTGTTTCTGGAACCGTGGGACGATTTAAGGGCGTTGACGTAGTTCGGAGCGCAGGAAAGAACGCGGTCCATTCCCTTCCTTTTATTATTATTTATTACATGAGGTATCTCATGTGGTAACAAACACTGTAAGCCGATAGAAAACATGAATGTATGAAAAAAACACAACAAATGCCTAAATAGGAGGGAAATGACTGAAATGAGTTGAAACGGAAGTCATCATGATTCTAGGTATTGGCTGAGGTACTTTTTAAATGCTGACAGACTGGGTGGAATACTTTTCTTCTTGCTCAACTCAAGAAACCACGAATAGACTCGATTGATGAAGAAGTTGGAACGACAACTAAGCCTGTCTCGCGTTTGTGGGGATTGAACATTACGGTACCGTTACGGTATTGGTTAAGGATCTAACATAGGATTTATACACCTGAAGGAGAACAGAGGGTTTTTGGTGGTGAGGGCCCTGAATATACGGAATGAGGCCCGCAGTGCATTGGAAGCTATGACCTTGCAATGACTATCAAAGTTAAGATCAGGAGTCAGCAAGAAGCCTAGATCAACGGTTTTCTTCAGGACCGCGGTCGGCCGGGCCGGCGGGCGCGCAAGGGGGCGTGACAGTCTGAACTGGTGAACCTTCAATAAAGTACTGACTGACGTTCATTGTATAGGGAGATCCGCGCCCGAAACGCATAACTTTTGTTTTTTCCTTGGACAGAGGAAGACACCAATCTTTGGACCACCGAGAAACAGCATCAAGGGAACGCTGAAGAAGAGCGTAATCACCCTCAGACTTGATCTATTTACAGATTTTAATATCATACGCAGCTGCAGCACACTTCACGATACAAGACGAAATGACACTAGGCAGCTCATATGTATAAATATTGAAAAGAACTGGGGAGAGAACCCCACCCTGGGGAACACCACTTGAGACCAACCTGGGCCTAGAAAACGTCGAGTCAAGGCGAACCATAAACGAGCGGCCAGTAAGAAAGGCCTTAAGGCTGCGTTCATACCGTGCGACGAGTCGTCAACGTCGACGATTTCGACGATTTCGACGACTAGTTTGCGAAGAATATATATGTATCGATCCGACGTAACGGACGAAACCGACGAAAGCGGCGAAAGAGGCGAAAGCGACGAAACCGACGACTACTTCGCGAACATTAGATACGTATCGATTATCGAAAACGACGAAACTGACGATTTCGGCGACTGTGCCAAGAATAAGCTTTTCGTAGATGGTTTTTCCCCACAACAATTTTTTTAATTTATTTCCTTTTCTGTTTCTAAACATTTTCCCTATCTATCTCCTTCCATCCTCTTGATTGACCTTACAACCTATCTTCTTCATTTTCGAGAGAAATACCATGAAGTAAAAAAAATTATGAAAATTAGAATGGTTACCTGAGGAAACAGGTGCCTTTTGGATTAGATTCGCGGGCTCTCCAACTACGGGACCTCCTTCACGACCTGAATAAGAATTAGTGCATTGCAAAAAAGGGGTGCTGGTGATGACTCATCGGCGTACTCGAAGCGCAAATCTAGCAGCGAAATTAGAGTGACACAAACAAGATATGTATACGTTAATGTACGAGCATCGAGAATCAAAAACTGTAAGATTTTCAAAAAACACTGACAGGACTTTCCCTTCCAACCTGCATATACTGGGTTCCACGTAAGCCACGTGGAATCGATGTCATGGTATTTCTTTTGAAAATGAAGAAGATAGGTTCTAAGGTCACTCAAGAGGATGGAAGGAGATAGGGAAAATGTTTACAAACAGAAGAAGGAAATAAATTTTTTAAAGAAAAAAAAGTGAAAAAAGTTGTGGGGAAAAACCATCTACGAAAAGATAATTCTTGGCACAGTCGCCGAAATCGTCAATATCGCCGTTTTCGATAATCAATACGCATCTAATGTTCGCGAAGTAGTCGTCGGTTTCGTCGGTTTTGCCCCTTTTGTCGGTTTCGCCACTTTCGTCGCTTTCGCCGCTTTGGTCGGTTTCGTCGGTCTCGTTCGTCGAATGGATAGGTATGTAATCTTCGTGAAGTAGTCGTCGCTTTCGTCGCTTTCGCCTCTTTCGTCGCTTTTCGTCGAAATCGTCGGTTTTGTCTGTTACGTCGGATCGATACGTATACAATCTTCGGGAACTAGTCGTCGGTTTCGCCTCTTTCGTCGCTTTCGTCGAAATCGTCGACGTTGACGACGCCGTCGCACGGTATGAACGCAGCGTAACCCATGAAATGATGCGATGATGGATTCCGACAATCGCAAGTTTATGCAGCAGTTTATCATGGGGCACCTTATCAAACGCTCTGGAGAAATCTAGGTAAAATTATTGGTAATCTAGGTAATTCAGCGAAATACTAAATTAAAATTACTGCTAAAATTACTGGTAAATTACTGCTATCAATATAAGAAGTAAGATCATTCAGCGTGCGCCTTTCTGGAATCCATGCTGGTGCGGAGAGATAATAGAGTGTTCTTGTAGATGAGCCTCAATCCTCTTCTTTAGTATTTTTTCAAAAAGTCGAGCGAAAATTGAGGTGATGCTAATAGGACGGTAGTTTGATGGGGAAGTGGCAGGAGGCTTCTTAAGAATGGGAGTTACAAAGGATAACTTCCATCTGTGAGGAACCTCGCTTTTCATAAGCGAAAGATTGAAGAGATGTTGAAGTGGGCTCGCAATAACAGGGGCCACTTTTTTATGAACTGTAGGGGTAGCCCATCACTAGTAACTGCGCAGGAAGACGACCATTTGGACAGAAGGTTGTAGATGTCTTCCGCACTGAACTAAACCAAAGTGAGTCAGTCATAACGGGAAAGCGAGAGGGGAACGCAGAATGAGCTGGATAGCAGTCTTGACTAGGTGCAAACGACTGTTCAAAAACGTCAGCAAGCAGTTCAACTTTGGCCTCGTTTGTTATAGCAGAGGAACCATCAGCGGTAACTAATTTGGTGACCGTTGATTTAGACCTGAGTCTCGAATTTAGGAGTTTGTAAAAAGAGCTCTTGTCCTTACTACGAATAACTTTTGCCTCAACATTATTATTGAACTTCCATAGTTTTTTCTCAAAGAGCTTACAGACTGAATGATACTTAGTCCAATCATCCGACTTGCCGGTAACAACGGCTCTTTTCCAAGCATCAGCTCTTTTTTTGGAGAGAGAGCGAAGATACCGGGGAAGGTGTGACTTATGAGGTGGCGCCTTAACAAGTGGGACAAAAAGTTCAACAGCATGGTGTAAAATTGCTAAAAAGAGTTCATATTTCTCATCAACAGTGTCGACCGTATTAAATGACCCGTACCAGTCAACAGAGCTCAAGTAGGAATTAATTTGATCATAATTAGCTTGTCCCCTTTCTTCTCCTTTCCCTTATATCCCTTTACCTGCCAAGGGTCAGTTTTAGCAGCAGTGTTAGCACGGACAACTAGCGACTGCTATCCGGTTCCGTAGAGTAGAAGTAGTGCAAACGCCTAAATTCAACCTGCTCTCCTTCTCCGATCTACCGCTGCTTTGCTGAGGTGCGGGATCCTGATGTTGCTGTTGAAAATCCCTGAAAGCGCTTCTCTGTGCTATGAATTCTCTGCTCAGTTTATTCAGTAAAGAAAAGAAGGAGCAAAGCAACATGGTGTCAAAAACAGCTGAAAAATCAAAAGCTTTATTGTCAGGGAACTTGGACCAACTTTCGCAAAAAAAAGATGCGAATCAGTAGAGGATATCAGTGGAAACGATAACACGCAAAATAATCATGCAAGGACAACATACTCAGTTAGCATGAAAAATCTAGGGACTGCCATTTCTCGACCTTATGAATGGCAAGCGCTACCCAAGTTCAGTAGGGAAAAGAAAGAATTTCACAGTCTCTGGTGACGCTGTTAGAACAACTACGGCACCCGTATAACACCCACATCTGCTCCAATTCGTCTGAAAATGCCTACATTTTTCATGGAAACACGATCAACATTATAACAAGGCAGTGCATGATTCTGAAATTCGGAATAAGAAAAGTTCGATAAGGATTTACAACTTACCTTGGTTCAAGTTGCTGTGATGTTTCCATTTGTTCATCTCAGAATCGAAAACTTCGACTGTCGCACTACCAAGAGCGTATAGCTTTCCGTTGACGACGGCTAGTCGTCGCTAAAATGAAAATCCTCGCTATATTCTTACGTTTGTATTAGGCGTGCGGTGAAGTTTTCAATTATTTTCATGTTTGAGTTCTTTCGAATATAACAGTAACTGAAATAATCGTAATCAAGGCCATAAACTTCGAGACACTAGACTAGAGAAGCCCCCATTGTTGTCACCAATTGTGGAATCAATGGCTTTACTCTTTTTGCCAGAAGAAAATGCCAGAAAGGAGTTGAATTCATGCTAAATGCCTTGATCAAATACTGCGGATAATGGGTGTCCGGTCATGAACAGTAGATGACAAAAGAGCCGGCACTTCCTCCCTTCCAAAAAAGGTATCCAGGAAGAGAAAAACAAATTGTGAGCTCGAAAAAGAGTCGCAAAGTCGAGATTCTCTTCCGATAAGTTGTGAAATCGTGCTACGACGCTGCAGGCAACAGAATGCATACACGTGATTAGCCGTGTAAGTCGTTGTCTTGCAGACTGAAAAGAACAAAGCCCCGCCCTCTAGAGGTCAACGTCCCCCCCCTTCCGAGTGACGGGTACACTCTATGAGAGCGCAGACTTAGATACGAAGCGCACGGAGGCATTTTATGGAACACTTGGTCGGAACTATCTTCTAGTAGGAGAGCAGCCGACTTCCCTGGTTGGACGGAAGCAGCCGCCTTTCCCTCGGTTGGACGAAGCCTGTTACCCAAGGGCGATTTGGTAAACGGCACGTTTTGTGAGGCTGACGAGCAATACCGTCATTAAAAACATATGAGGCCGACCGTAGTGGGCGAGCTGTTGCCACGGAAAGCAGCGAAAATCCATGATTCACTTCCAGAGTAGCCCAAACATGGGAGAAAAAGACCAAGGCCAGCAAGAGGTTGACAGCCGAAGTGGGAGGACGACGAGGGGGGAAACCATGGGTGCTTTTCAGGACGAAGGCGGAGAAATCTCGAAAAACCATGAACACTGAGGAGAATTCATAGCCCGATCCGCTCAATAACATGGGAGGAACTCAGTTCAAATCAGTTAAAGTATCCCCTTCATGTACAACACAGAATGTCTCGGGCTCCTTCGAATACGTCTCTGTTTTGGTCTTCTTTTTCTTCTCTTGAACCTCCCTTTCTCAGCTTTGAAACTGTGAAATGGAATTAGAGAAAGTAGGGAATAACAACATTGTAGAGCAGGAAGAGATGTTTCAAGCAGTTTCCTCAATTTGCTATTTAGTGCAGGAAACATTGTGAAACATAATAAAAACTACCTCAACAGCCTGTCATTATTGTGTGGCGTAATTAGAATGCCCACACTCACAGTATCCCTGTTCCTCTTCATAGCAGGCACGTCAATCCATTCATTGGTGAGAGGGCTGTACCTCTCAACTGACATTACCGCTCCGTTTCCTCCTGCTGCGTACAAATGGCCATCGAATACTGCAGTTCCAAAATAATATCGTGGTTCTAACATTGGGCAAACGTTTTCCCATTTGCCAACTCGTGGATCTAACCTGAAACCCGAATCGCTAAATCTATCTTTTGTAATTTTTTTCCTACACTTGCATAGTTACTCAGTATATCGCTTGAAGAGTGCGGATCCAAAGCAGGTAACAGCACTCGTTGTGAAAAATACAATGAAGGGGCTCGATCGATGAGGAGAGGTTCTTTCCTGTTCCACATTCACTATGTCATCTACATATCACCCTAGTTGGTAGCGCCACAAAACCATCTTACAAGCACCATTTCATGTGATAGATCGCGCCCATGTTTCAGAGAACCTATCTCCCCTTCGTCCACCCCCACTCCCATTCCATCTCCGATAAAAACTGTTTGAGAAAACACGATGTTGGACTAGAGGATCGTGAGAAAGTACAAAAAAAGAAAACTGGAGGAAGAGCCCCGTATTCATCCGAAACTACACAACGCCTGCTTGTCCAATTTTTGGGTCTTCAAACATTTAGCATTTAAAAAGGTGTACCTTTCCACAGTTCTCAGATGACCATCATTACACCCTCCGACAGCGTATAAACAGCCATCAAGTACGGATACAGAGAGCCCTATCGAGGTGTTCGCATGGATGCCACAGTGGTCCATTCGTTTCGTTCAGCATCATAGCTAAAGAAATAAATTTCTACACAGAAAAGCAAGCAGCCTCAGCGCTCTGAACGCAACAAATGGGCGACCATCTCATCCTTTGATACTTTCTTGCTCATCAATTATCAAAGTTATCCTGCTTCGCTCTGATCGTGCAAGAGATGATCAAGAGACGAGCAAGAATTGGCCAAAGTTATTTCACTTTGGAAGGGGGTTCACGTTAGCTGGATTTTCTAGAGGAAAAAAAACTCAGGCTTCCTAACCGTTCGACGATGTCCAGAGAGCTGTTATTCCAGCCGCCTACAGCATACAGGAAGCCATTAAGCGCAGCCACTCCGTGCAAATACCGAGGCGTGGACATCTGCGCGTCACTCGACCATTGATTCTTTACAGGATCGAATCTAAAATTTCCAACACTCGTACATTTTCTTCTGCATTTCAAAAGTGACTCTGTTGTCCGGGGTATGATCCGCAATGAGCGTACGACGTGTAGTGACAAATGACCGCTTCTCAGGCACGGGGTCAAAGGCCGATAGGCTCCCGCTCAGGCCTATCAAGCCATTTTCTCTGGGTAGCGGTAACGTGATTACAGGTTCGTCTGGGAGGACAACAACATCGACCTGTACATCGACTTGTCCCATGGGTCATTTTATAGGTCATATCGCAGTACAACCGCCTATGAATGGATGTAGAATGCGTGCAGTACCCTGAAAAAGACGGTACAACAGCGGAAGCTGTGTTAATTCAGCTCTATCAAGGCAGTGAGTACTAGATAATTTCAATCTTGCTTCGGAATTTCATCAAACTAGGATAACTAAAAACTATTCAGAAAGGATTTGTGCGCGTTGTCGCGACCATGCAAGTAAACGCGCATTATATCCTAGAAAATCGTGTAAATAATACAAACCTCTCAACACTGCTCAAATGGATGCTCTCATCATGGCCACCAACAGCATAAAGCAAGTTGTCGAGCACTGCAACACCGACTCCACTTCTGTAAATGAAGCAGTTTTTGAGAGTTACGCTGTACGCTCTCCTGCAGAGATTCTGATGCTTGTCATGGGCGAGGTGAATGGTCCGCAAGTGTAGAAGTGTACCATTCGTCGCTCGAAAGCGCTGAACTAAGGCTAGAGGGTATTGACAGCAAATCGTTGTTGGAGATTCC